GTGTTTTCGTGTGCCAGGTACTACTTTCTGGTTTTCAGATAAAGAAACTAAGGCATAGAGAGGTTAGATCTGAGCCTTTAAAAATAAAGGTTTAATTATGAAAAATTTTAAGCATAAAAAAAGTAGGGAGACTAATATAATGAATCGCCTCATACCATCACCCAGCTTTAACAGACACCAACTCATGGCCAGTCTTGTTTGTGTGGCCCCACCCCATCCCACTCCTACATAAATACACTCCTGCTGCTACATGTTTCCGTGCATATCGCTAAAGGAGAAGGGCTAGTGTTTTTTTCGTTTGCTTCTTTAATGTCACTGTGCTACCACTGTCACACCAAAAAAAGAATGAGCAGAAATTCTTTTATATCATGTATCTAATCAGCATTCCTATTTCCTTCATTGTCTTGTAATTTATGTTTATTTTTTTAGTGGTAAATGTGTTCAAATCATGATATAATAAGGTGCACATATTACATTTGGTTGGTATGTCTTTTAGACTCTTAATGCAAAGCAAATATCGCTTTAATTAAGTACTGTTTTTGTCAAAAAATTTGACTCTGGCTATTGGAAGTACAAATGCACATAGCCTTTGACTCAGCAGTTCCATTCCTGGAAATTTATCTACATCGATACTCCACACACAGAATGATGTGCATCCACTGGCTTTAAGTGTATTGTCTATAAAAGATTGGAAACAAATGCCCCCTGCGGGAGCCAAGTTAAAGAAACAAGGTGTCTCCATACAGAGCTAGCTTATGTTTCTGTACAGGGAGATGGTTCCTGTCAGCACATAAAGGGAGAAAGCCGTGTGTGTGTGCTGATAGGAACTATCTCCAAGATAAGATTAATTAAACAATGCAGGGTGCAGAACCATGTTCATCCTGCACCACTGTTGGCGACTTTTAAAGAGGATTCCTGCTCTCGAGTGGCGAGCTGGATGATGGGAGTCGAAGGGTAACTGTTCCCCAAATCTCCCTTCTGCAGCAAATGTCTTATCATGTGAATGCATTCTGTATTCAAAGAAATTTCAGCAGTAATTCTTTTCTGAACTTTTATTATTTTATTCACAGAACTCTATCTGCATTAGCTCACTGGTCTGCCATCTTCAGTGACACACCGTATCTTCCCCTCTTGGCATTTCCATTTGTAAAATTATTCCAGAACAATCAACTCATCTGCTTTGAGGTTGTTGCTACTCTCATAAGTAAGTGAAACATTATTAAATAATGAAGCCAGGAGTGGATCCGTATATGTTTTCCTGATGTCTTCTGCACCTTTGCAACTTTCAAAAAATGCCGTTATAATTGTTTTGATAAATGTTTACTAATAATTGGAGAAGATTTGAAAAATATAGGAAGACATACAAAAGGAAAGAAAATTCACTGTTTTACCCCAGAGATAATCTTTGATAATACAGTGATGACTTCTTATGAGCATTTCCCCAAAATTATTTAAATATTCTTGAAAAACATATTTTATTGCCTGTATAATATTTCATCTTTTGAGTGTACCTTTAACTATCTCCTCCTCTGTTGCTAGATTGTTTCTAATTATTACCTATTAAAAGTTACAATGTTATAAGCATCTTCATATGTCAGTACTTATAATTTATCTGGATAGATTCTCAGAATTGGAATTAGTAGCTCATAAAATATGAATATTCTGATTCCCCACAGGGTTGTACTGGTTTACCCAGCCAGTAGCACTAATTAGACTGCTAACAATATTAAAAGAAAAAAAAGCAGATTATATTTAATTTTGATAGTCATGCAAAACTGTATTTTTTATTTCCATTAAATCTCACTACATAGCTGAAGTATGATTCTATGCTAAGAAATTCCTTTTTCTCTTCCAAGCAAGCACACCTGGAATCTGAATCTAAGGGATGGTTGACATGAGCAGGTGTGGATTCTTACCAAGGGTCTCAGACTAGTTTTGTTCAGTGAACATGCACTGATCTTCTACTTCTTCCTGCTTGGGATGGGCCGTGTGTCTGGCTCACCTGTGCTTATAGTCTATAGAGAAGGAATCTCGAAGAGAACAGTCACTTCTGTGTATAAATTGGGACATGCAGATATGCCTCACTTTTCGAAAGCTTGTTTCTGCCACTTTCATGAAAGACCTACATTATGTTTGATTTTTCTGAGGCATGCATTTTTCCCTGGTGTTACTGTTCACCTCATAGGCCTCTCTGTTTTTTGGCTGAAAGTTGAGCCATTGAGGTGCATTCAATTCCAGGCTTGAAAGGGTGAGTAAAGGGCCAGTCTCAATCAGGCCAGTAAGCCTGGTCTTCTTCATTGTTTTCAAGCCTGGTCTTTTTCATTGTTTCAGTTTTGTTCCTCATTTCTCTCCCACTCTATCCAGGATCTCCTAGGTGATCCCATTCAGTGTTGGCAGTGGTAGCTGGGCACCGTGTAGTTCTGGTCTCAGGGTTGTAGAGGCTAAGGTTACATATTCCACTCGTCCCTTGGACTCATTTTTTCTAGATGTCTTTGATTTTCTTCGGTCTTCTTTGCAGCATTTGCCCAGGAGTAAAGCTCAGAAGGGAGGACTGAGTAGGAAAGAAAGACAAAGGGGAATGATACCAGAGGGAGGAAGTGGGAAGGGTTACATTGCATGGACCGCTGTCAGTGTCACGAAACAAAATATGTATGAACTGTTAGATGGAAAACCAATTTGCTCTATAAACTTTCACTCAAATCACAGTGAAAAAATTTGTTTTGTTTTGTTTTTTTTAATCAACTTGTTGGCAGCCAACAGCAACGAGGTGGCCATTCAGGGGATCACCTGGGGAAAGAGCTGCCTATCTGCCTGCCTCCTGCCCATCTACTCTTCGGTACCGCGGTCATTAGCCCTTGCTGCAGCTCTCCATGGATGTTCTTAGGAAAGCTTTAATCTATTTGGGTGGGAATAAATGAGAGATACTCACTCTCCCTCCCACTACTCACTAAAATTCTAAACTCAGAAGATGCTGGATTCTGCCTCCTCTTGGCAACTGGATAAGTAATAAAGGCAAAGAACTTGAGGAAGCAATGTCTGCACAGGGCCTTGGGGAAGGATGCTCCTGGAGAACAATCAGTCGCTTGCATTAGTCACCTTGGTAAAAGTCTCAGCAGGGGGAAGACCTCTCTGCACCCCAAACAATACCTGCCGGATTCCTAACAGTGTTTTATATGAGCAATTTAATTCCTAGTCAGCAAAACCAGTACACTGAGAAAAAAAAGAAAGGCCTACATTGATAACTTGTTTTCCCTGTAACCAAAAGAAATCCAAAGAGGATCTTCACTTTTAGGAAAAAAAGGTGCAAAGTGAAACCAGCCTTCAGCGTTTGTTTTGCAGCGAGGCATTAAGAAGGCGTTGCGCCCCCCCCCACCACCTCCACCAGCAGTGAGAGCGACATCGCAGCCTGTTCCCTGGGAAGTACACTGTGCTCACTCTTATGTTGGTGTTCTTTTGGGTTGGGTGGGTTATTTGGTATGATTTCGTAGGTCATTTTTGGGGTCTGGGAATGCTCCGAATTTTCTCCCGTATGGATTAATGGTGATTGCTTCTTCCCTTTACGCTGTCTCAGCTTACGGAAGGTTTCACAAGCACGCCGTCCTGAGGGATAGTGGGGGAGTCACTTACAGCCAGGAGGAGATCCTCCGCTGTGGGTAGTAAAGGGTCTACACACGGGCACCATTGCTCTGTATCCTGCTGTGACTCAGTTCTCTTTCAATCCTCTGCCCACACTTCTGCTCTGGTGACACCAAGTCAGAGGGAAATAATGAAGAGAAGGCAGTCTTGCCTAAAGTGAAACAACGTCTGTTGATGAAGGTTAAATTAAGATAAAGGGCCATGTTTTGTGTATATGTGTAGTTTTTTAAATTCTTAGAATTAGCAGTGTCTGACATAGTAAGTGTGAATGAACCATTTTTTCCTTCTAAGGTTAACTTATTCAGAGCAGCATTTTAAAGAAGTTGAAATGCTTCTTTTAACGTTTAGTCTTTGCAAGCTTTTGTGTCTGTTTTAATTATTAACTCAAATACTAACAAATGAAATAGTGGCATTCTAGAATTGAAAGGACCTTATGAACTGTAGGTAATCCAGCATTCTGCTGATAAAACCTTCTTTAATGTCAAAGGATGAAGCCGTCATTCAGTATTTGAAACCACAAAGATGAATTTATTCAGTACTTACATACAGGAGGGCTGTGGTGGATAGACATCGGTTCATCGAGCAAAACAGACTGGTGAATTTGTGAGGAGTTGTGGTGACTGTCGTGCTGGTTGGAGAGTGCAGATGAGTGGAAACCTGTGGTGACCATCATGCTGGTTAGAGAGTGCAGATGAGTGGAAACCTGTGCACTGGGTGACTCTGCTTTCTAGCTTTCAGTGAGTGTCATTGCCATCGATAGGTTGGTTTTCAAAATCCAGTTGACTGAAGCCAGTTGTCATTGACAGATTTAAAGCCACTCTGGTGGTTACTTGTGACCATGTCTATAAAATAGTCTTCCTGGTAATGTGGACATTTTTATTCTCATTATATTTAATGCATCCCTCGTATTTAAAGATAGACCCATTCATTTTTATGTATTACTGACAATATGGAGGTATAATTTTGAACTTTTCCACAAACTCTTCTAATCTTGAATGAGGTATGAATTTGAGTACAGATTATAGAGATTAACATGTTAACTTGATCACATTATAATGGTCCCTTTTTTTAAGGGGATTACTTGGGTAACCAAGAAAATCTAAAAAGATACAATACAGGAGCCAGAAGGAACCAGAATGCCCTGTGAACAGGGATCAGTGTGCTTTTGCAGGTGGCGTAATGCCTAAGGCATTTGACTGCTAACCAAAAGGCTGGATGTTCAAACCCACCAGTCACTCCTCGGAAGCAAAGTTGGGCAATCTACTCCACAGTGATACCGCCTTGGAAATCCAAGGAGGGGTCGCTATGAGTCAGGTCGGACTTGATGGCAGTGAGTTGTTTTTTTTTTTTTTAATTGTTGTTCTCTTTTAATAGACACTCTCATTGACTGCTATGCAGAAACTGGCAAAATTTCTGCACACCTAAGATACTATATTTACATGATGTATTTTTTTAAATCTACTGTCTTAGAATTTAAAAAGTTATCACATGTGATTTTCCTTATCTGTGGGCATGTTGAAGACATAAAGATGGATACATTTAAGAATGTGAGGTCTTCGAAAGTATAGAAAGCTGATTAAAGAGAAATTTTCCATTTTTTTCTTCATAGTCAATTGGTGTCAACACTGGTTTGAATATTTTCCTAATCCTCCTATCAATATTCTTAGTATGATAGAAAATGTTTTGGCATTTCATGACAAAGAGCTGCTGCAACACTTCATGGATCATGACATAACTTCCCAGGTATGAAGAATAAGGTTTTTATAAGTAACACTGTGGAAGCTAATGTTGGTTCTGGGGTGAACAAAACAATATTTTCTTGAAAATGTATATTAGAGTTTATTACATTTTATATTTTTAATAGTATGTATCGTTTTCATCATTAATCTACTTTCCTGAAAGTCTGCAAATAATAAAATGTCCAAATTAAGGTAGTTATTTTCATAATTATGTTGTTAATATGACTTTATTGTTGTTGCTGTTGTTTGCCATCGAGTCAGACTCGACTCATAGTGACTCCTACTTGGGTTTCCGAGGCAGTATCACTATGGAAGTAGATTACCTATATGCCAGGCACTGGTGCTAAGTCCTGGGAATACAGTGGAGAACAAAATAGTCTTCTTTCTGAGGAGTGGCTGGTGGGTTTGAACTGCCAGCCTTCTGGTTAGCAGTCAAGTGCCTTAGGTACTATGACTTTATTAGCTGAAACCAAATTTACCAGAGTGTTTTAGCAATGACTTTATTTTGACTTTCCCTAGAAAAACAATGTTTTCTTAATTATTCTAGCTATATGCATGGCCTCTTCTTGAAACTGTGTTCTCAGAAGTACTCACAAGAGAGGAGTGGCTGAAACTGTTTGATAATGTGTTTTCCAACCACCCGTCGTTCCTCCTGCTAACCGTTGTTGCCTACAGCATGTGTTCTAGAGCTGCTCTGCTCAACTGTAGTCTGAAAGATGATTTCGAGGTAAACACCTTGTTCTTAAGTGGAGATTCTCGAATTGCAGTTATTTCGATGGAATGAGAAAGCCATATATTTACTGATTACCTATATGCCAGGCACTGGTGCTAAGGCCTGGGAATACAGTGGAGAACAAAATAGACTAAGTTCCTGCCCATACATAGTTTGTGACGTGGTTAGGTGCTGTCGAGTTGGTTTCAGCTCATGCTGACTCCGTGTCCAACAGAACAGAACGCTGCCCAGTCCTGTGCCGTCCTTACAGCTGTTGCTGTGCTTGAGCCCAGTGTTGCAGCTCCTGTCAGTCCATCTCATTGAGAGTCGTCCCTTTTTTCTCTAACCCTCCACTTTACCAACATGATATCTTCTCCAGGGACTGGTCCCTTCCAACTACACGACCAAAACAGATGAGACGAAGTCCAGCCATTCTCACTACTAAGGAGCATTCTGCTTGTACTTCTTCCAGGACAGATTTTTTCGTTCTTCTGGCAGTCCGTGGTATTTTCAGTATTCTTCCCCAGCATGACAACTCAAGGTATCAGTTCTTCTTTGGTCTTCCTTATTCATTGTCCAGCTTTACATGCTTATGAGAAGATTGAAAATACTGTCGTCTTCAAAGTGACATCTGTCTTCCTTAATATTTTAAAGAGGTCTTTTGCAGCACGTTTGCCCAGTGCAGTGCAACGTCTGATTTCTTGACTGCTATTTCCATGGCTGTTGATTGTAGATCCAAGCAAAATGAAATCTTTGACAACTTCAGTCTTATCTCCATTTATTGCGATGTTGTTTATTGGTCTATTTGTGAGGATTTTTATTTTATGTTGAGGTGTAATCCACATGCATGTGAGAGCTGAACAATGAATAAGGAAGACAGAAGAAGAGTTGATACTTTTGAGTCACAATGTTGGGAAAGAATATGGAAAATACCATCAGCAACCAGAAGAGCAAACAAATCTGTCCTAGAAGAAAAAAGTGCAGCCGGAATGCTCTTTGGAAGGGAGAATGGCCAGACTTCGTCTCACCTACTTTGGTCATGTTGTCAGAAGGGACCATTCTCTGGAGAAGGAGATCGTGTTTGGTACATGGAAGGTCAGAAAAAAAAGGGAAGACCCTCAACAAAATGGACTGACACAGTGGCTGCAACAGTGGGCTCATATAGCAAGGATTGTGAGGCTGGCGCAGGACCCGGCCGTGTTCAGTTCTGTTGTACGGAGGGTCGCTATGAGTGGGGCCGACTCGACAGCACCCAACAACAACAACAACAACAACAATCCATACTGAAGGCTATGGATCTTAGGTCTCTGATCTTCATCAGTAAGAGCTTCAAGTCTTCTTCACTTTCAGCAAGCAAGGTTGTGTCATCTGCATATCACAGGTCCTTAATGAGTCTTCCTCCCGTCCTGATGCCGTGGTGTTCTTCATATGGTCCAGCTTCTCAGATTATTTACTCAGCATACAGATTGTACGTTATGAATACATAGTGAAGAGACAGTTAATTAAATGGCAGTTAATAAACAAGCAATTATAGCAATCTCCTAAGTTTCTTGTAATCTCAGAAAAGAATCAGGACAGTGTTAGAGTTTAATGCTAAAAAGCCCTTTTGAAGGATGGTTGACAGTAGTTGTTCTGTGCGCGATCCGGTCAGGGACCCTCTGTTCTGTGACAGTTTGGGTGCACAGTGGTGCCTGAGAGTTTTGATGCCTGGCAGGAAAGTGACTGAAAGAATCACTGAAGGTGATTTTAAAAAGGAGCGGCTCATTCAGTAGACGGGATAAGTTGATTTTTTTAAAATGTTGTGGTTACTGTCAAATTTTTTACTTCGTGATCATAAGATACATACGTATCTTATGATTCTGATTAGCCAGCCTAACAAGATAATGTGGAAACATTTCAGATTTCTTTAAAGAATCAAGCTAATTTATTTATTTGGGATTTTGAAAAAACCCAAGCAGAAGTCATTCTACTGTTGAAACATCTATTTCTCTATTTTATAGGAAGCTTTTATTTTGACAGTTAAAATTTTTGAAGTTTTACTTCAAAAGTTAGTGATACAATCTTGAAATGTTATTACATTTTGAAAACAGGAAATTGAATCTTCATTTTTAAATTTGGGTTAAGGAGAGCTTCAGTGAATTTGAAAAAGCAACTTCACTCTTTGAGATAAATTCACGTTTATATTTTAAACTTTTGTTTGTATTCTTCCTCAGAATTGCTTTGTTGTAAACCCTGATTCAAACACCTAACTTTTTACAGTATTTTTTTCACCATCGGAACAACCTGGATATAAATGTTGTCATTCGAGAAGTTTACCACCTTGTGGAGGCCACACCTCCTGATATTCACCCAGAGAGCATGCTTGACGTTTTTGTCGCACTGACAAAAGGACAGTATCCAGTGTTTAATCAATATCCAAAGTTCATTGTGGATTACCAGACACAGGAACGAGAGAGAATAAGGAATGATGAACTGGATTACCTACGAGAGAGGTAATCACAGGTTAGCTCTTTGCCTGATAGAATCTGTTATGTATATAACAAAGAGTGTTTTATGAGTAATATGGTGAAATTATGAATGCGGATGTAAAATCAGAGTTTGGAGACTCAAAATATCTTTAAAAGTATTTCTCACTTGCATACAGAAGTAAACTCAATCATACATTAATCAGGTTCACATTACATTTTATGTTTTGGTTGGTTTTTGGCTTATAACCACTTAGAGCTTCCTTTCTTGAGTATTTATCATAATAAGTTATGTTACTTACTTAAGGCAGACAGTTGAAGATATGCAAGCTGAAGTAGACCAGCAAAGAGCTGCCGATGAAGCTTGGTACCAGAAACAAGAACTGCTTCGTAGAGCCGAAGAGACGAGAAGAGAAATTCTCTTTCGAGAAGAAGAGAGGATGCTGGAACAAAGGCAGAGGTATACGTTTTATCACTTTAAAAACCTCAGATACACGCATTAGTTCAGTAATCTTTTATTATCCTGCTCCAGTAGTTCCATGAAGCAAATATTTAAGTTAATAAAAAAGAAATCTGTGTCTACTGCTTTTCCAAAAATTGGGATATGGGAAAATGTTGTTACTTCTAAAGCTGCACTCAGTGTGATGGAACTGCACTGATTATTCCAAACTCACACGGGACCTTCTGGCTCCTCGGAGGACATTACTAGAAACATCCGTTCTTCACAGCGGGCAGAAAGACTGCAGAGTAGGGCACTAGGTAACTCACCTTTAATGAGCGTAATTGTTTAAACCACGTGTTAAGCTTCTATCTGTGTGACTTGAAGCCTGGCACATCCAACGAGTATCTCTTATGTTACGCACTTTACACCTTGGAGGTCAGGGGGAGGAGCATTAAATGCTTATTCAAAAATATGTTAATGAGGTAGAAATGTTCGATTAATTAAAATTATGGGATGAGGATTGAGACTAAGCTAATTGTCAGGAAACTCTGATTTCTGTAGCCGTTTACTGATTCGTGATCTTGCGCAGGAATTTATGAACAGATTGCTAGTGCGGATTAAAAGGCCTTACTAAACTAAGCCATTAACCTTCTATTAATATTCTGGAAGAATACGCCTACATGATACTTGGTAACAATGGAGTATTTTTTATATCTTTCAAATAAAAGTTGTTGATTTTATTGAGATGATGCAAATGGTAGACCTGTAAAAGAGCTTTTGAGTATGAAAAGAAAGCCAATTGCCTGTTTGTAAGTGGACATCTTTCTCTTATGTTATAAACACAGCTGCGTTACAGTGTCCCTGGGTAGACTGGAAAGGTGGACAGGATTGGTGGCCAGCAGCTCTTGGTGTGAAACTTAGTATTTTCCAGTGTAAGTCTATATTAAAAAAAAACTCAGTGCAGTTGAGTCAGATCCGACTCCTTGGGTTTCTGAGGCAGTATCACTACAGAAGTAGATTTCCCAACCTTCCTTCCAAGGAGTGCCTGGTGGGTTTGAATGGTCAGCCTTCTGGTTAGCAGTCAAATGCCTTCGGTACTGTGCCACCAGAGCTCCCAAGTCTGTATTAGGAGATGCTTTATTTGTTCCTCTGAATGTGTTTTGCATTTCAGACTAGCTGCTGTGAAGAGAGAGCTGAAAAGAAAGGAAATACACTTACAGGATGCTGTGAGGAGACGCTTTCTGCAGCAGCAGCAAAACCAGCGTGAGATGGAACTAAGAAGACTAGATGATGAAATTGAAAGAAAGGTTCATTATTCTTATGTAGGACTTACACTTCCTCTCCATGTACACTCAATTAAATGGAATGAACAGCTTCAAATTAAGTATTAGTCCTAGAGTTCACAATGAACCCGAAATAACCCTTTTAATTTTATTTGCTTTTCCCCTTAGATGGCTATTCTTAATCCCTTTTGTATTTCATTAACAGTCCAGTAATATAGAAATGCCAGGAAAAATGAGTGACCGTTTCCCTAGATGGAGTATCAGTCAGTATCATTTAACCATTAAGATAACTATGAATCAAGGGAAGTAACTCCTTTGTAATATAAAATTCACTCAGTTTATTTCCAGGGCTAAAAAGTCCCTGGCCTTTCAGGAGTTTTCAGTTGACAAAGGAAGACCACACCAAACCCACTGCTGTTGAGTCTGTTCTCACAGCAACCTGATAGGACAGAGCAGAACTGTTCTGAAGGGTTTCCGAGGCTGTAAAACTTCACAGGAGCAGACTGCCCCGTCCTTCCGCTGAGCAGCTGGTGGGTTCGAACCACCCACATTTTGGTTAGCAGTTGTGTACTTTAACCACTGCACCACCATAGCTCCTCCCAGATAAAGGAATAACTAGATTTATATTTTCTTATATTTATACAAAAATGGGATTGTTCTCTCTACACATTCTATTTTAGCAACCTGCTTTTTTTAATAATAGATACTGAATATTGTCCCTTGCCAGTGGTGTGTAGATCTATTTCTGTGTTTTCTGACTACACTCTATTCCACTGTGCATGCAGGCTGTGGCTTATTTAATCCTTTTTTGTTGGGGCACAGTCACACCCCTTTGTTACATGCTGTCTGTGGCTGCTTTTGGCCTGCAGTGGCACAGATAACTCGTTGTGACAGAAACAATGACCCATAAAGCCTAAGATAGTTACAATCTGGCTTTTTCAAAAAGTTAGCCCACCCCTGATTTGTCTGAAAATTAAGTGGAAGGAATGAGTTGGGGACCAAGCTTACTTCTCTCCAAAAGGCAACTCAGTTGTCCTAGCACAGTTTATTGAATATTGAGAAAGCCATTTGTCAACTGATTATTATTAAATACTGCATTTCCTTTTTATACCTGACCTGCTCCATTTTTCTGTTCCTGTGCCAGTACACTGTCCTAGCAAAAGTGTCCCTGTAATATTTTACTGGCAACGAGGCCTCATGGCCACTGTGAGTCTGTCTTTTCAGATTTTTCCACAGTATTCTACAATATTTATTTTTCTTAATAGGTTTTGAGAATTTATCACTCTCTCTGAATCCTCTTTTCCCTGCATCCTCTTGGGATTTTTATTAGGATTGCATTGAATTGATGGGTTAATTTAGGGGAGAATTGGTGAATGGAAATAGTCTATTTCAGGGAGCTTCAAATGAACTTTTGGTAAAATACTAAGTATTTTTTCAATCTTTTAAGGTAGTTTTAATTCATCTGTATCAGAAATAGCTTCTCTTTTTGTTGTTCTTGTTGGTAGGCACCATTGAGCCAGTTCTGACCCATAGGGACCCATGTCCAACAAGGAAGCTCAGCCTGGCCCTGCCTCAGCCTCAGAGTCATTGCTGCACTCGAGCCGTGGTTGCTTCCACTGTGCCGGGCACTGCTTGAGGGTCCTCCTCTCTCAGGACCCTCGACTTTACCAGGCGTGATCTTCATCTCCAGGGGTTGGTTCCGCCTGGTAACGCAGCCAGAGTAGCATGAGATAATACTTTTTATTTTATCTCCCTCCCCCTGTCTCCCCGGTGTATGTCGTCCCGGTCCTCCCGTCTCCCCGGTGTACGTCGCCCCGGTCCTCCCGTCTTCCTGGTGTACGTTGTCCTGGTCCTCCCATCTCCCTGGTGTGTATAGCCTCAGTCCTCCCATCTCCCTGGTGTATATTGTCCTGCTAAACTTCAGAAACTGCTGGACTCACAGGTTACACGCCAGAAAGTGACATGCGCAAGTAACTGTGAATGGCCACAGCAGCAAGCAGAGTTGATCTGTTTTTGCTGTCTTTGTGTCTGAAAATTCATGACCAAAAGAGCCACTTTAATTGAAACTCCAGAAAAGCACTTTGTGCTCTACCAAACCTCTTCTCCACCTCTTGTCATTATTAATACTCTTCCTTCATAAAGTCAGGTATCACCACCTTTGAGCTACCCCCAGTCACCTCCTTAAACTGCACTGGTCACCGGTCCATGTTTTGAGCTACTCCCCAGGCTCTTCCTTAAACTGCACTGGTCACTGGTCCATGTTTTTTTACCCTTAGTATATGCCCTTCTCGCTCATCCTCCTGTCTCCTCATGTGTCTATGTCTCCTACCCTGGGTAGGTGACAGCAGGCGTCTGTCCCTGTCGGCAGTATCTAACGCTGTGCGCACGGATGCAGGCAGTAATGCAGTCGTTAAATGTTTGCTGAATGAATGAATGCACCCAGATGGCTGATCAGTTACAGTGCTTTTTTCTTTTTTAATTTTAAAACACATATGTACTTTTTTCTCACCACTAAAAAAATCGATGTTTTAGCCAGCCAAGTATTTTAAGACAGATCTTAAGACTTAAGAAGGTGCCTTCTCCATATCCTCTGGTGTGGGAGAATGAAGGCTTCCAATCAATGAAATTTCAGAAAAAGGTAAACTCTAGATTAACCAGGCTCTGAGCAGAGCACATACAGGTTAAATAGTCCACAGTAAATGTAAACCTAGAGTTACTGATTGCCAAGCTTAACTCATTAGAGTGTAGAAGTTTAACAGAAAGAGCACTGAGTCAATGTTCTATGTAATTAGATTAAGTAGTCTATACTGTATCTAGCTAAAATTTAAACTGTTCAGGTTTTTTCTAACTCATGCTGTTGGTTACTGGAGTATGATAAGCTGGTCCATCTATTCTCATGGGCTGGGCAGACATGCCTACACGACTGTGCTGGCTGGCTTCAAAATGAAGTGTAACTTGAACTCAGATTATGCTTAGGCTCCACATGTTCATATATTGTCAGTTATTCTGGATTCAAAATCCAATTCTTATTGTTATAAGTACTCTCAGTGGGTCATTCAGGTTACAAGGGCACCAGGTCTATTAAACAGGAATTAGTTTGCAGATTCTTCTTGGCATTCACACTTGGTTACTTGGCTGCAGGTACACATGAGAGATCAGGAAGTTGCCATGACAGCCAGAGACCTGGAGATGAGAAACCAGGAGCTTGAATCCCAGAGGAGGCTTTACGAGAAGGTACAGATCGGCTCCTTCCAGGATAAGAAGAGCGTGCTTTGTACAAAAGCCTTTTTAGACTCTGCCTGTGCTGGGCTTTTTATGTTCATTTTGTGTTTAAGCAGAATACAGTGTCATCCGTTGTTGTGAGGTGGTGAGTGTTTGTATGGAGTTTGTGGTAATGCTTTAGTTCATGTTTCTGTCAGCAACATGACGTCATTGGGAGAGCAACTGCAAACAGCCCCAGTAACCCACAGGGGCCTTGTCAGGGGCCACGGACACTAGCTGTGGGGTACTTTGAACCTGAAACTTCAGGAATCACATCTGCAAATACTTACCTGGAACCTGCAGTTTAGTTTGCAGGATGCTGGAAGAGCAACTTTGTTAGTGTAAGTATTTCTTAGTTGGGAAAAACATTGTTGTTGTTAGATGCCGTCGAGTCATCTCCAACTCATAGCGACCCTATCTATGCACAGCAGAACGAAACACTGCCCGGTCCTGCACCAACAAGTATCAGAATAGGGGGAGAAAAATACTTAAACATTCATTTTTGTTACTCATGTATGTCTATAAATTAACGTTGAAACCGTATGTTTGCATGTCCTCCAACCCTCTTAAGCTCAGAGCTTGAGTTTGAAATTAGCGACAACTTCAAATTCACAGTAGATAACATATGTAGGATTGTTTGTTATCCACATTAAATATGGTGTAAAACACAGAGCATCCATTCATGGATACACTTGTGACATTTCCACACTGAATTTCTTTTAGAACTCAACCAGGAATTTACAGTTTGGCTAAGTCTCCTTTGGTTTTGAGTTTGACATAAGTTATTTGGACCAAGCTAATGTTTACTTTTTGAAAACCATCTTTTTTGGGAGAGGGCAAGCGACAAGAGCCATAGTTTGAGACTTTACAAAAAATTTGCAAGAGAAATACTAAGAATTTCCAAATGTTTTTCTCTCCAGTCCCCCAGTTGTTAATCTTTTGCTGCATTTGCTTTGTCCTTCTATCCTACAAAAGTTTATACCCACACACGCACACACGTACACACGCGCACACACACATTTTTATCTCTGAACTGATTAATTGCAGACACGATCCTCCTTTACCCCTAAATACTTGAGTGTGTACTTCCTAAAACCAAGGAGGCCTCGTACAAAACCTGAGGACAGTTACCGAGGCAGGAGCCTAACACTGACGTAATATCTGATGCAGGGATCTTACTCAGATTTTACCACGTGTCCCAGAAGTGTCCTTCAGAGCAAAAGGACATTGAAGGCCATCATTTTCTCACTTGTCTTGTCTCTAAACTGGAGTTGTTCCTGGGTCTGTGTTGCATGACATTGACAGCTTTGAAGCATGTAGGCCAGATATTTTTGCAGAATGTCCTCAGTGTTTGTCTGTTGTTTCTTCATGATGAAAATTCAAGTGTGGCCAATAGCAGGAATGCCACAGAAGGAGGCTGACTTTCTCTCTGTGGGTCACGTCAGGAGGCCAGTGGTGACTGGGCCCTTTTGAAGGGAATGTTTATGGAGGCTGACTAGCAGGCTTCAGGGAGAGCTGCCCTGGTAAAGAGAAGCAGCTTGTGAAGTCTGGAACTTTGTCTGGTCAGTCAGATGCAGGTGTCCAGTGCCTACCTTTTTCCAGTTAGCTTCGGTGATCACACTTCCCCTGCACACTTCTCTTACATTAGGTTGGTTACATGCCTATTTCTCAACAAACTGTGTTCCAGAAAACAGACAGTGTTGTCATTTACCTCTGTTAGATTGAGAGTTTGATGTTCCATATAGATCTAATAGGAATAAAATTCTTTTTCAAAAAAACTAAGCAAAACAAAACAAAGAAACAAGGAAAAACTGATGTGTGATCCCAGTCCCGCCCCCTTTCACCTCCTTGGTTTCATCAAGTCCCTTTGTTCTGTCTTCCTCTCATATCTCCTGGAGTAATACCAGCCTTGCCAAGGCTGCTGTAAGGATTAAATGAGATAACATGTATGTCTGTCTTGGGGGTGCCTAAGGCCACCCTTGGGTTTAATGACTCATTATGAAGGACCCACAGAGCTCGGAAAAGCTGTTATACTGATGTTTGAGTTTACGGCACTGAGAGGAGACAGGTGACAGTCAGCAAGGTCAAAGCCCCAGAGAAATGAGGCACAGGCGCCCATCCCTGCTCTTGCAGCGGACTCGTGCACACAGTGCTAATCCTCGCTGCAGTGGTGCTGGCGACGGCAGCCGGCCAGGGAAGCACGGAGCCTCTGCTCTGTCCCCAGAGCGCTGACAAAGCCGACCTGGCGGTTTTTCCCCGTGTTGTCAGCGCCTTCTTGGGGGAGAGAATTTTCAGAAGTCCTTGCTCGGCCCTTTCTGCTGACATCACCGTACTGGCTTTTTACTTTGAAAATCAGATGATTGCATTTTTCTGTTTGTGTACATATTAGTATTCTGAAAAAAGGAAAGTTACTTCTGTGTTCTAGCATGATTATATGCATGATTGGGTTGTTTTTACAAATGATCTTTGTTTTAACAGAAACTTACTAGAAATCAAGAAGCTGTTGCAAAAGAAATGAGAGAAGACACCGACGCCCACAGACGAAGAGTGGCTCTTGAGGAGGGCGTGTTTCATCAACTCTTAGACACGGATCAGGCTCAGAGCCTGCAAACACAGAAGGTAAAACAGGGTAAACGGAGTGTCTCCAGAGAGAGGGGGCTTTGCAGCTGTCCTTCTCTCAGAAGAGCAGATTCAGACTGGAGCTCTGTGAGACTGAGGTCTCCTCATCTCTTTGCTTCACTCATGACAGTTCTGAGAATCTCACAGAGCTTTATTTTATCTAAAACCAAAACCACTGCTGTTGGGTCGGTTCCTACTGATAGCGACCCTATGACCGGATGCCTCATTTCCAGGAAGTCATGTATGCCTTTCACAGCCTTTCAGAATGTTAAGACTTACAAGAAAATGCAGAGGAATATAGAAAGTTTACAAGGTACACTGTTGTGCAGTGTTCTGACCCTGAAGTTGTCCCTGAGCGGGTTAGGTTCAAACATCAGGCCTCTGTCTGGTGCGTAAGCCAGCATTTACAAAGTATGTTCCATAGGATGTACTACTGTTTGAAACTAGGGGCTGGTCGAATAAGTATTGGAAATGCTGCCTTAAAGAGAGGTTTCTTTCAAGCCAGATTTGAAGATCCTCTACATTGCGCATTGCTAGGAAAATTTCCGAAACTTAGTTTACAGAATTCTCATGGAGTTCCCTTTGGAAAGGCTGGCAGAAGTGAATTGAAAAAGAAAGTGAGATCTTCGAGAAAGAATTTTGCTGTATCCCCTTATCAAGTTCTTAAACGAGAACATGGCAGGGCCTGGCCAGGTGTAGTGTCAGTGTTCCCCGCCTGCCTGTCTGCAGCAGCCCCTTGGCTGATTCCCAGGACCTCCCTTCATTTCCTTTCGGTCAGGTTTCACCCAGCCTTTGGGAATAGGCTCTCTTCCCCTCCTTGTTCAGAATGTTGGAAGCATGGACATTGTGGAACCCCACCCGTGCCCTGGCCTACATGTTCTCATGTGGAACCCCACCCGTCCCCTGGCCCACATGTTCTCAACCTCAGCTACATGTTGGTATCAGTTGGGGAGCTTTCTAGAAGTAGCAGACATTGACATCATTGGCTGCGGTGCGCCTGGCCATCAGTATGTTTTAAAAGTTCCTGAGTGATTCTAATATGCAGCCCAGGTTGGAAACAAGTGCCTGAGATACTTGGAAACGGAGTGGATGTTCCATAATGTGACATAGTCTGACATTGTTCTGTAATTTACCACCTTTCCTAGTTAATTGAAGAAAGCCTGGCAGATGCCGAGCAAGCGTGCAGCGATGCTGACTGGCGAATTGAGGCTTTACACAAGCGGAGATGCGATGATCGGCAGCGAAACGGGTGCTACCGGGAAGTAGCCAGACTCCTTCGGAGTAACAGAAGGAAGGAGGCAGAGCTGTTGAATGCAATGAGGGAGGCGGAAGTGGAAAAGGTAAGAAAAGTGCTGTGAACGTGTTGGTATATCAGACAGTAAATTCTGAAAGACTACATAATGAAATGATAAAATTATCAAAGGAAATTTTTCTTGAGAAAGATCTTAAAGATGATCTAGGTTTATTTAATAGGTAACTGCCAGAGGAGAACTCAAGTAAGAATTATAAAGCATGTTTCTCGTTCATTAATGTGGCTGAACTTCTCAGCTTCCTGAGTGGGGAATAAATTCCTGTTTAATTCATCACACTCTTTACACTTGCAGTGTGAAAGGTTTTGAATAGTTAAGAATTTTGCATAGCTGTTAGTAACAAGGGGCCTCTGATGGCGTAGTGCCTAAGGCATCTGACTGCTAACCAGAAGGCTGGTGGTTCAAACCCACCAGTTACTCTTCAGAAGAAGACTGGGCAATCTGCTTCCATAGAGATATTGCCTTGGAAACTCAAGGAAGGGTCACTGTGAGTCACATCTGACTCCATGGCCGTGACTTTGGTTTGGTTTTGGTTAGTAACATAACCCACAACAGCAGTGACTAGGAACAAGATTGTTGTTGTTGTTGTAGTGTGCCGTCGAGTCAGCCCCGACTCATAGCGACCCCTCCTTGGGTTTCCGAGGCAGTATCACTACGGAAGTAGGATTGCCCATAGATGCATTTTTCTCTTTCACGTTGAAGCAGTCTGGCAGGAAGAGGGCAGTCCAGGATTGGAATTGCGGCTCCAGGACCATCAGGGAAATGGCTCCCGTGCCTTTCTGCACTGTGTCCGGGGCCTGGCTGCCTTTCTGCACTGTGTCCTGGCTTTCATTCTCATAGATTCCAGGCAGCAGGAAGAAGGTAAACAGAAATGTAAAAGGTCTGAACTCCCACCCAGCTGAGTCAGCTCCTTTTTAACTCCTTTCCGGAAGTCCTGTGTTCTGGTTCCCTAGTGCCACTCTGACAAGAATATACCACAAATGGGATGGCTTTAACAAACAGCAGTTTATTCTCTTAACAGTTTGAAGGCTTTAAGTCCAAGTTCAAAGTGCCAGGCTTTAGGGGCTGGGTGAAAGCCCCTCAACCTTGGGCTTCAGCTCTGCCTCCTGCTCCCGGCCCACTGGAGCTGGAGGCTTTCCTTCACTCAGACAGCTGCTGGCTGCTGAGACTGACAAGCCCAAGGCTGACATGTAAAAAGGCACAGTCCCGATGTTACCAAACCACACAGCAGGCCATTAATTCAAGTGCATTAAAGGTCCCAAGGTCAGCAGAGCATGGCTAACACAGGATTCAAGCGTGCCATAAGCTAGAGACCACTCCCAAAGCTGTTTCTTATATAAGGGAAGCAGACCACATACCCAAAGCAGCTACTCAGCTGCTCCAATAGATTCCACCATGGAGTTAATTACCAGTCTCACCATGGGGAATAACTATATCCAGCTGCCCAGCCACTCAACCAGGCCCAGCCACATTGACACACAAACTTAACCACCACATCCTTCGTCATGTTTTTAGCTACTTTTGGCTACAAAGGATGCTGGGAAATGTAGCATTTTTTTCAGCAGGTGTAGTACCATCCCAAATCAAATTGAGATGCCATTCCTACAGAAGAAGCAACTAAATGTGTGTGTCACACCTGTGTCCCTTTGGGTGATCATTCTTCAACAACTTGGGGCTCTATAGGTGACACAGTGGTTAAGTGACTTCCCCGAGGACACAGAAGGATTCAGGGAGAGTAGGAACTAGGTAAGCAACTTGAGTCCTTTCCCTTTCTGACGGCGTAATGTCAGTAAGTTCCTTCAAGTCACTGTTCCAGATTCCTTTTCTTTCTCTCTCATGCCAGGGTGGACGAGGCCCTATCCTATAGTCCTTTCATTCAGAGACAGGGAAGAAGGGCTTGGGGAGGGTGGAGGTGACGCCCCGATCAGGTAGGCGCCTCTCCCTGGGAAGTGCAGCGGATGCCCCCATCTCCCAGGGGGGCTTGCTGACATAGGGCCAGACTGGAGAAAGGTGCAGCTGGACTTCGGGGGAGGGGTATATTTGAGAGAAGACAATCATTTCATGGCATTTCGTGTGTGTCTGGTGTCCTAAAGCTCGTTAACTGCTGGGTGAGCTTGGGAGATGGATCAGACCCCGTCTCCTCATCAGTCAGGTGAGAGGAGCTCTGTGGCCGTTCCTGGCCCTGATGTTCAGACTCTTCAGAGCAGTTGTTATAGTTGAGCTCTACTGTAATATACGAAGATGACGTGGGCTTGTGTGCATAACGTACGAAGATGATGTGTGGGCTTGTGTGCATAATGTACAAAGGTGATGTGTGGGCTCACGTGTGTAATGTATGAATATAATATGTGGGCTCACATGTATAATGTATGAAGATGGTATGTGTGTTTGCATGTAAGAGAGGTCACATTCCAGAAGAACTAGATGGTGCCTGGCTACCACTGTCAGCCACTCAGAGAGGGATCTATGGAGGAGATCCTGGGTAGAGAGGGAGAACAATGTGGAACAAAACTCAAAATCATTTGGAAATAAAAAAGGGGGGTGAGGACCAGGTTTGCTGGTCTGATAGAGACTGGTGGAGCCACTGAGTCTATGGCCCCTAGCTGCCCTTCAGGTCTGGAATTGAACCCATACCTGTGGTTTCCAGCCAAAAAAAGACAGCATATGACCTGAACATTTACCTCAGGTAGATACTCCTTGGAGAGAACAATCATGGGAGAAAGAAGGGCTGTTTGTGCACAGGGAGACAGCTCAGGGGGCAGGGGTGCATGGAGGGATGGACACAAGGAAGAGGTAACTATTGGGAGGAAGTGGGAGGGGAGCTGTTGCATTGTGGTAAATTACAGTCAATGTCACGAGACAAAGTATATGTGAACTGCTATGTGGAAAGGGGATTTGCTCTGTAAACTTTCACCCAAATCACAATAAAAAAAAGGGGGGGGCACATTTCCAAAACACTAGTAGACTTCAGGAGTTACATAGTATTTTAAATTTATTATTTTAGTTACCTTTTGAGTTCCTCTTAAGAGGACTGTTTTCTCATTTTATGGAGAAGTACATAGGGACTGAGCCTTGACTTCTGTGGTCGTTGTGTGCACAGAGTTGGACAAAGTTTCGTTCTCTGAAGGTGTAGCGCTCAAGTTAAGCATTTGCCTTTCATGGAGAAGCTCGCCTACTCATGACTGCTGTTTCACTGGTGGTTGGGGTCTCGGGGGTGCTGTGCAGCCCGAGTCAGGGATGACACGTCAGCACGGCTCTGCTCTCGGGTTCTCCAACAGCCGTGGGCCGAGACTCAGGTGCCCACATTCCGCAGCCTCAGTGCCCAGGGAACATGAGGGGAAGTGGGGTCAGGAGGCCGCTTGAGGAGCTTGCATTGCTGCGATTTCTAAATGCTTTGTGTGGTTTACTTACTTGTACTTAGTGGGAAGAAGCTGAAGAGAAGGAGTTGCGTCTGAGATCAGAGAAGAGAGAGGCTGCTCTTGCAGATGCATCTAGAAGGTGGTTTCTGGAGCAGGAGCTGAGTGATGCTTTAGAGCACACGGGGGACCCATGTCGAGAAGGTGAGTGCCCAGGGACGCCGTCTCCCTGGGCTCGGCATTCTAGGCGTTGCTGCAGTGACCTGGGCTCGGCGTTGCAGGCGTTGCTGCCGTGACCTGGGCTCGGCGTTGCAGGCGTTGTTGTTGCAGTGAGGAAGGCAGCTGCCTTGAGGTGTGTGTCGGCACGCTCACATAAAAGTGCTCACCTGAGAGCTTTCCCTCGCCACCATCTGTTTTCACCGTCTCTCTGGGTTGGCAGGGGTGGGCTGAGCAGGTGCGACTGGTAGAAACACAACTCCAGTTTGAAAAAAGTCTCAGCCGTCCTGTGGTTCCATGGTCCACAGGGCCACCATCTTTGGCATCCTCTTAATCCACTAGTGATTTGCTTCCCAAATGCTATTTTTAGTTTATTTTAGTAAAAATACATGCTTTGCCGATAGCTGATCCTCTGTTAAAGTAGCACAAGGAAACGTCTTAAGGGGACCTGTCAAACAGTTAGGTTTTGGTGCAAGGCTTACAGTGGTGTCAACTTAAAAGTCAAAGTTAAATGTAGTACAGATTCCAGGACCTTTTATTTACTGTATTTTATATTGCTTCCAAAGGAGATAAGTTCTCTGGAACTGTTCATTCTATTCAGCAAATGAAAGTGTGGCTTATATATGGCACCAAGTAGAACCACTTTAGGATTTTTGGCCAAGAAATTCGGCTTTTAGAATATTCATTTCATTATTGATTTATTCGGCTTTTAGAATATTCATTTCATTATTGATTTTTATGACACGTTTACTTTTTTTTATGCATCTTTTTTTTTTTTAATTGGGATTTGGCTAAAAGTTTACAGCACAAATTCATACAGCAGACACATTTACTTTTAAATTAAATGCTAGAGCATTGTTAACCTCAGAAAATTAAATTATTGTGAAATTGATTATTTCAATTTCGTTTTCAAGTTTCTTTCAATCGAGGAAAGCATGACTGGGATGCAACAGGACAAGACCTTTTGGAGAAAGTGAGGCATCTTCGCCAGAGGCTCACTGCCCAGGCTCGGAGCAGGTGTCAGACCCCTCATCTCCTGGCCATGTAGCAGGCACGCCATCTGGAGGCAGGCGGAGATCCCCACTTATAATCACCGACACTGATTTGAGATGATTTATTTTAAGTGCCTATGAAGGTTAACTTCTGTGTACATATATAAAAAAATGTGTCCTTAACAATTATGTGTTCTGTTTAATTCTGATACTTCTTAGCTTGTAAATAACTGCTTGTACTTTTCACAATAAATTTTTTTGAAATATTAAAACTTGTGGAGGCTCTTCCAGGTGACAGGACTATCGTGAACCTCAGCAGGTTTTGTAGGTGAGGGCGGATTCGAAGATAAGCAGAGAAAGGACCATCTCAGCAGCCAAGCCTGGCAGAGCGGCCATGCCAGCGACGCTGGGCTCTAACAGCGTGGATTGGCCTCAGTCAGTCTTTCTGTCCCGTTAGCAGCAGGATCTGCTCGGGACAACCCCGCTCTCTACCCACTGTCCTCCACCATGGCATCTCTGCCCCGGCTTCTCCTGTCAGTCCACCTGCCTCTCCTGATACACTGTCCCTTTCCACACCTGTCAGCTCACCAGCACGGCCCATGACTTCAGCACCTCGGACAAGTAGCGTACTCTGACCATTTCTGCGAGGAGGGCAGAAATAGCACGTTGGCTTGATGTAAGGGTTGAATATGACACTGGGTACAGAGTTCCTGGTGCAGCGTTTGCACATAGTGAGTGTGCAGCACACTTACTATGTGTGATTTTTTTCCCCCTGGGATCACAAAGCATTATGGGGAACCAAACACTGAGTAAGCAAAGTGTTCTCTTTTGTGCAATAAGCAAAGTCCTCAACTGATGGGCCAAAAACCCCAAAGCCACTGCCAGAGTCAATTCTAATGACTTCTGGTGACTTTGTAGGACAGAGTAAGGTGGCGCCATAGGGCTTCCAAGGCTATAAACCTCTACAGAAGCCTCCTCATTCTCCCATGGAGCAGGCTGGTGGGTTTGAACCACTGTCCTTCAGTTAATAGCCTAATGCCATAACCACTGTGCCACCTTTTCTGTATGTTCTCAGGGTATTATTATAAGCGATACTTTCATGGGCCAGACAGGTGTCTGGTAACAAGGAATCTGAAGAGAAAATTCACAGGGTGGAATGGGAGCTTTGGTGAACTAGCAATGGCTCACCTAAAAGCAACCAATTCTAAAGCACTGATTGTGCCAGCCAGAGTCAGCTGGCTGTTGGCCGTTCTTGATGCTACTTCAGGGTCTCTGTTACTAGAATGTATTTCTACTCAGACTGGTTTTATAACCCCTCCCCCACACACCAACACACAAAATAAATACAGTACTACAATAGCTCATTTTTTAAAAAACAAAAAGCAAGCTATGAATAAACTAAATGATTCTCTCTCTCTCTTAAGTCACTTTCTTCCAGTTTTCTCTGGGCCCACTTCTCCCAATGAAAATCTTGATAAAGTTATCCCATCAGAAGATTTCAGATCTTTGGGTAAACTTCTTCGGTTCTATATCCTTGACATTTCAAAGGCAAGCACATTTCATGAACTAAATGAAGTACATTTCTAAAGATCACTTCCAGCTTCCTGACAGTCTGTCCTCAAGCCCACCCCCGTTTGTTTATAAGACGAAAACTCTGGGATTGAATAAGAATCAAGTTTGCCTAAAATTCTTCCCACACCGGCTATATTCAAAAAGGGGGAAAAACGTTTCCCTTGAGTTTGTTAAAAAAGAGTGATCCCTAGAGGCCTCTCCATACTTATCACAGTCACAGAGTTTCTCTCAAGTGTGAAGTGTACAGCTGGGCCCTTGTCCGCACTTCACGAGCTCCTGTCCAGTATGAACTCAAACATGTTGAGGGAGTTACGAAGTTTGGATGAAGGCCTTTCGCGTTTATTACATTCATAGTGTTTCCGGTATGAGTTCCCCAATGTTGAGCAAAACTTGGAACAATTGCTAAAGGCCCTTCTATGGTGGTTAAGGAGCTCTGGTGGTGCTGTGGCTAAGGCATCAGGCCGCTAAATGGACGGTAGGCAGGTCGAACCCACCGGCTGCCCCATGAGGAAGCTGAGGCAATCTACTTCCATAAAGATGCATAGCCTTGGAAACCCAATAGGGGTTGCCATCAGTCAGAATCCACTCGGTGGCAGTGGGTTTGGTTTGTGGGTTTTTCCACAGTGATTATACACTGATCATTAGGGCAATAACCGGGACCAAACTCCCCAAAAAAACTCCACTGCTGTCAATTCTGAAGCCGACCACCAGGCCTTTCCTCCATGGTAGTGCTGGGCGGGCACGAACCACCAACCTTTAGGTCAGTTAAGTACCAAACCCAATTTGACACGTAGTGACCCCATGTGACAGAGTTAGTAGTTGTACACAAACCAATTGTGCCACCCAGGGACCTAGTGGTTGTCCTAACAACAAGGACTAGCTAAGGTTTAGTTACTGGTACGGGTGCACTTATCAGAGATCCTAGATTTAATGTTTAATCTCGTATCAGTCTGGGACTGATCTGGAGACAAACCACACAGTTCAAATAGGGAAAGTGTGAGATAAGGGGCACCTAAACTATAGTAAGGGAGTAGCTGTAAAGATGTGAAGAGACTGAAAAGGTCACTGAGAGGTGAGGTGGAGCAGTCGAGGAAGGACAAGCGTGGACGTGAAGCCCTCCCAGAGCTCGGGCTCGGCCCCGTCAGAGGTGTGGCCACAGTGCCCTGGACAGTGGAGAAGGCGGTCCCCATGCTGCCCATGGCCCGAGCTGGGCCACGGGCCCAGGCAGCAGGAAACAACTGGCGACAGGTCAGGTCTTGAGGACTCCACCTGAATAGAAACCACTGAGATCTTAACCATCCTCTCAGCCCCACATCACTGCCGCCTCCACTGTCGTCAAGCGATTCTGACTCCACCTACAGGAGAGTGGAACTGCCCAGAGGGTTTCCAGGCTGGAATCTTTATAGAAGCAGACTGCCACATCTTTCTTCCTTGGAGCAGCTGGTGGGTTCAGAACAGCCAGCCTTTCGGTTAACAGCCAAGCACTTAACCACCGTGCCGCCAGGGCTCCTTCACGTCACCACCTACATCAGTGATATGCTGATTGATGAGCCAAAACCCAAACCAAACTCTGCCATGGAGTCAGACCTGACTCATAGCACCCTCTCCTTGGGCTTCCAAGGCAGTATCTCTATGGAAGTAGATTGCCCAGTTCCGAGGAGTGGCTGGGGGTGGGGGTTGAACCACCAGCCTTCTGCTTAGCAGTCAAATGCGCAGGCACTGTGCCACCAGAGCTGATTGATGAGCAGCAAATACTTCAGATGCTTAGAAATACATGTTTGAACTGAAGGGTGGGAGGTAAACCCCATGAAAATCTAGAGTCCCCCCATTTGTTTCTGGGAGTTCATTGGTCTGGAGTATGCAGGGATAGCACCTTCAATGAAAGATACCTTGTCCTGACTACCACTAAAGAAAGAGGCACACCACTCGGTGAGTCTTTTTGGACCTAGAGGCAACATATACCACATCCGAGTGTGCTGCTTCGACCCACGGACTAAGGATTCCATAAGGCTGCCAGTTTTGAGCGGGGATCAGTGCCAGAGAAGCTGCCTCTGGAAGGAAGTCCAGGCTGCAGGACAAGACTTTTCAACTAGCAGCCTCACTGGCATTCCGAGTGTCTCGTGCAAACAGGGATGCGATTTGGGGTCTCTGATGAGCGCTCATGGGAGAGTCACAGCACAGACATGGACGGCTTTGGACAAGTCCATGTCCCCATCAGACACTGTTCTCCTCTTAAAGAAAAGGACTTGCTGCTGGCCCTTTGTAGACACTAAACACATATCCATGGGGTGTCAAGTAACTCTGTGGCCTGAGCGTCACCCCATGACCTGGGTGTATCTAACACACCCAGCCAGCCCTTAGGTGAGGCATGCAGTCTATCAGGGGAAAACGGAACTGAGATTGGGCGTAAGCATGTCCCTTCAGCACAAGTCAGTTTGTGAGCAGGTGGTTCAGACTGCCCCAACGCTGACCCCTGCTGCATCGCCTGCTCCCCCAGTCCACACCTGTGGCCTCTCTGAGCCGCCCCACTGACTAGCTGAGGAGGGGAAACTCACGTTGGGTGAACAAACGTTCTACACGGATGAGCTGGCACCAACCAAGACGGGTGGCTCCTGCCTTCCAGCCCCACCAGGGGCAGCCCAGAAGAACGGCAGAGAAGCGGAATCCCCCCAGTGGGCAGAACTCGGGGTGATGCCTTTGCTTGATCAATTTGTCCTGACGAAGAGTTGGCCAGAGGTATTGACCTACCACACCCGGGCTTGCTCACAGGTAGCTGCCATTGGCTTGGCTGGGTGGTCATCAGCTTGGAAAAAAACAGGATTGGCCAGGAAGTCTGGGGAGAACGTATGCAGATAGGCCTGGCAGCCTGGGCGGAGAGGGTGAGGCTATTAGTGGTTGCTGGCTCACCGGAGTATCGGCTGCAGCGACGGCCGGCAGGCAGTCATCAGAGGGACAAACGGAGCTTTCTGTGGAGGTTAGTCTGCCTCTTTCCCCGCACCTCAGCGCTTGCTAATGGCCTCGTGTACGAAGTAGCCATAGTAACACAGATGAACCAGTAGAAGTAGCCAGGTCAGCGGCTGAATGTCTAACCTGAGCCACGTGTGCACCGCTCCCTGGAGCGCGCCAGCGCGCCCCCTGGTGGCCACTTGGGTACACTGGCCTCCTGGGCCCCTTTCATCCAGGAAGGAGCAGAGATTGATGCCCACTGGGATTGACAGGTATTCCGGACACGGGCCAGGTTTTTCCATTCATGACAGTTCTGCCAGTCCCACCATCCCTGGATTTACGGGAGGCCTTCTTCACTATCTTTGGATCCCAACATTGCTTCTGATCAAGGGACGTATCTCAGTAAAATCGATGCAGCGGTGGGCCCAATGCCAATGAACTTAACTAGTTTTTCCATAAACTCCATCATGCAAACGCAGTTGGCCTTTTCCCCAGTTCCCGGGTATTCCTCAATAAAACCCCCTCCCCTGGTGTAAAC